GCAGAGGCGGGGGGGGGGGGGGAGGGAAGGGGGGGGGGGGGGGGTAGAGGGTAACGTGGGGAGAAGGACACATATGTAATATCTTAATCAATAAAAAATATATTAAAAAAATAAAATAAAATAAAAAAGGACTGATCACTACAATGTGAATGAGACTTGAAAACACTACCCTAAATGAAAGAAGCCAGACACAAAAGGCCACACATTGTATGATTCCATTTATGCAAAATGTCCAGAACAGGCAAGTCCATGGAGACAGAAAGTAGATTGGTGGTTGCCAAAGGAGGATGGGGGTAGGGGGTAGGGGATGAGAGGATAATGGGAAATGATTGCTTACTGGATATGGAATTTCGCTTTGGAGTAATAAAAATATTCTGGAATTAGTCAGTAGTGATGGTTGCACAACATTGTGAATGTACTAGCCACTGAACTGTAGACTAAAATGGTTAAAATAAGAATTTTATGTTATGTAAATTTTATCTCAATTAAAAGAAAGAAAGAAAGAAAAAGAAAGAAAGAAAGAAAGAAAGAAAGAAAGAAAGAAAGAAAGAAAGAAAGAAAGAAAGAAAGAAAGAAAGAAAGAAAGAAAGAAAGAAAGAAAGAAAGAAAGAAAGAAAGAAAGAAAGAAAGAAAGAAAGAAAGAAAGAAAGAAAGAAAGAAAGAAAAAAAGAAAAAGGAAGGAAAGAAGGAAGGGAGGGAGGGAGGGAGGGAGGAAGGAAGGAAGGAAGGAAGGAAGGGAGTGAAGCCAGGGACAGCATAGCTTTCTTTCAGGGACTTTAGAGGAAATGGGGGAAGGAATCTTAAACATTAAGGCCCAGCCTGACAGCCCCAGGTTAGGTGACTGAGCAGTTAGCCTAGCGAGTGATTGTAGAGCCAGGAAGACAAGCTGGGCTTCCTGACTCCTTGCCCAGAGTGCTTTCTGCCAGAGAGCGGCCTTGGAATCAGACCCAGGCAAGCCGTCTGTAAGGTCCTGAAAGCAAACCAAGCCACCTACGACCAGGTCTTCCCCTTCAAGGCATTCTTGGAGTGCAGCTCTCGGCCTACCCCACCAACCAACCAAATCCAAGTGTCCATCAGCCCACCTGCCAGTCAATGCTGTTACTGATGGCCTCTTAATTATTTCCTTGTTGTTCTTGGTTTACATCAAGTAGAAAAATCACACTGTCATCACATTGCTCTAATCTTAGAAAAGCATGTCATTCATACTCTCAGAGTTGGCCTCTGTCCAGTGATATCTGAAGACATCTCTTGAATTAAAAAAAAAAAATGATGGACAGAATATCGAAGTTTAGGGCACATTCATAAAGACAGATCAACAGTCCCTTTTATAAATGGCTTCAAAAAGTACATTGCAAAAAAGAAAACAAGAAAGGTAGGCACAGAATTTTTTTTTTTGCAACAGTGAATTTTTGAAGACAAAACAAGAAAAGAATAGTTGATATAGAGAGCAATTCAGTACCTCACAGTGATTAAGAGGCTCTTTAGTCACATAGACCTGGGTTCAAATCCTGCCTCTGGCTTTTAATTAGCAAGTTGCTTTATAAGTTTGTTTTTTTGTTTGTTTTTACCTTCAAATATTTTTGCAAAATAAGAATAGCAGTAGTACCTACTCAGTATAGTTGTCTTAGCATTAGCAACATAGCACATATAAACTATTTGTCACAGGGCTACCCCTTAGAACAGGGGTCCTCAAACTTTTTAAACAGGGGGCCAGTTCACTGTCCCTCAGACCATTGCAGGGCTGGACTATAGTTTAAAAAAACACTATGAACAAATTCCTATGCACACTGCACATATCTTATTTTGAAGTAAAAAAAGAAAACGGGAACAAATACAATATTTGTATTTGCATGTGGCCCGCGGGCCGTAGTTTGAGGACCCCTGCCTTAGAACATATGAAGTTTAATAGAATATGAAATATTTTGCCCACAAAACTAAACTATATCTTTAAATTCACTATATGTGACCTTGGAACTGAACTAAAGAATGATGTGTTGCAAGAGCTATGAGACTGAGTCAGGAAACCGTGGTTCAAATCCTAGTTTGTGTACTTACTAAATAGCAAGGCCTCGGGACCCTCGGTAAATATCACTAAGACTCTGTGTCCTTCTGCAGCGGGAAGGCCGGGGAGGGTTAAATAAATAAAATGACTTGTCCAAGAAAAAAAAAAAAAGACTCTGTGTCCTTATTTACAAAGGGAATCATGACTACATCAGACGGTGCTGGGGCAAGTTTTAAAGTGATTATTTCTATACATTCTAAAATACAGGATCTAGATGTAATGCTATATAAATAACAAGGTTTTACTGGTATAGGACTGCAGTGGGACTAGGCAGCGAGGGGCCTCCATTCCAGTCCTGGGACTGTCACCTGAGTTCCATGGGATGAAGTGCTATCTTTCGGGACATCACTTTCTCCACCTCTAGAAATGGGGTGATTAACCAGAAGGCCTCCTTCAAGCTCTCACATTTGGTGACAGTATACATTGGACTCCATGGCCAGTTCTGACTCTCCCTTCTCTCTCAAGGAAGTAGAAAGTGCCACTGACACCAAAGGGTCCACAGGAATACCGGGCTGTCTTTTCCAAAGTAGAAAAACGCCTGGCCCTGTCCAGATGTCCATGGGCCAGGAGCTCATGAACTTGCAACATTCAAGAGGTCATGACCGGATGTTGTCACTCAAAATTCATTGACAGCAATTATCCTCTCCACCTCTGAGCTACAAGGGAAATGATGATCAGCTGGTGGGATTTTCTTCTACTCAAGCCTTAGTCCCCAGGTGGAGGTGGTGGGGTCTATTGCATCCCAATCATAACCCTTCTTTCTTCCTCCCATAATTCATCGCGGGTCTATTAATTGAGCAACAACTTTCCAATATCAATGACTCATTAAAATTTAACTAATTATAGGAATATTATTCAGCCTTAAAAATGAAATCCTGTCACATGCTACACGGATGAACATTGAGGACATTATGCTGGTGAACTAAGCGAGTCACAAAAAGATAAACACTGTGTGAGTCCAATTATATGCAGTACTTAGTCAAATTCATAGAGACAGAAAGTAGAATGATGGCTGGGAGAGGTGTATGCCAACATGTTGTTTAATGGGCAAAGAGTTTCTGTTTTGCAAGATGAAAAAGCTCTGGAGATGGGTTGCACGTCAATATGAATGCATTTCACACCACTCAACTGTACGCTTAAAAATGATTAAGATGCTAAATTTTATGTTATGGGTATGTCACCACATAAGAGTTTTTTAACTAATTATCTGATTACTTCAATAATCATTTGGGAAATCAAGAGCAACCAATAATTATCAATTATCACCATTTCCTTCTCCTCCCAAGCATCCCTCTCCCTTTGAACCCAGATGGGTCATAGTTTTGGGGGGGATCCTGAGCACGTTTGTTCACATTTGCACCTCCTCTTTTGAAACAATGTGTCCTCTAAAGTATTAAATCAATACTCTTGTTCTAGGCTCCCAGCCAAGTCTCTACCACACATTGTGCTAACTAGATGTTCTTTTTGTTGGACAGGCTAGTGCTAGCCTACTATCAAACAAGCATCTCTAGGGACAGTTTGTGAAGCAGTCATTCACAGAAGGTATGGATGCCTTCAATCACTGGGATTTCTCCCTAGCTAAGATTAACACAGGGCAGGAATTTCGAATGAGAGAGAGGAAGGCAAAGGGGAAGGGAGTGATTTCAGAATTTGTTCCTTTGGGAGGAAGAAATATCTAGAAAAAGCATCACGATCAGGGTGGGGTAGGGGTAGCATTGAACAGTACGAGGGCAGCAGAGTCACCGGGCAGCCAGTGTTGGGAGATAATATGGGGAAAGGGGATGGGGACACAGAATGGAAAGGAATATAAGAAAGCATTTTACAGAGCTGGTGATTTGGTCAAGTTCAGCAGTACTCTTGTGTAGTTCACAGACTGGCACCTGCCTTGGAACGTGGAGAATCACCCCCCTGCTACTCTAGTCTACACAGGTTGTTTGCTGCTGGGAGAAGAGCCTGGGAGCTCCTTTGGACGGGATGCTCATGATCTAATTTCCTTGGTGGAATAGCTGGTCCTGGCTAAGTTGTGTCTGATGCAATGGAGGGAATTCCTAAGAGGAATGGGAGGAGGCTGAGGGACCCCAGGGCACTGGCAAGGGAGATTTGGCCAGCAGTGCTGACCTTCTGCTCTCTGTCCCAAGGGGCTCGAGTCCTTCACAGGTGGTCATCAACCTGACCTCACTGTATCCCGAGGTGGATTCCCCAAGGTCAAAAAGAAAAAAGACAGTAATGAGATAGGAGCTTCTCTTATTTGCATTCACAACACTGGCTCTTGCCCTTCACCAAACCTAGCAGCCCAGCCCTAGCCACGCCCAGTGCTTCCTAGTGCTGACCTGCTGACACCTGCAAATGCAAGCTCAGATGCTTTTCCTGGTCTCCCACAAGCCATGCTGCATCTGGGCTAAGGAAGCCTGTTCCCTCCCTTCCCAACGCCTTGCTAAAGGAATAGGAGAACCCCTAGTGCAACAGGTGGACAAAGTCATTTCTGTGACCAGGCATTAAGAACACCCACAAACAAAGATTCAGGGAGAAGGAGGGGGGGCGGAAATTGGGGCCTCAATCCACTTGCTCAGTTCCCCACCTCTCTGTGCTAGGGCTCCAGATAGGCATGCACTGAGGTGCTGGCCATCACCCTGCTCATTAGCTGAAAACTAAGTAATGGCCACTTGTTCAGTCAAATTGGCGGGTCCAACTATGCTTTTGGAAATCACTACACACACACACACACACACACACACACACACACCTTTGTTCTCTTGTATAAACGTGAAATATTCAAACACTGTAAGTACTGATCCTGGTAAATACTGCCGGCCATGAATAAAACAAATCCCATAGGAACAACCCTTATGTGATAAGGCAAGATTGAAAATGAAAATTAAAAAAATAAAATAAAATTCAGGGAAGGCTGCAGAAGACCAAGCCAGAACCACCCTCTGGTACAAACATGGGTTTGCAGAGGCTAAAACTGCCTGGAGTTTTGGCTAGGTATTTTCTCTTCAAATCTCTCTCTATCATATACCCTAGGCTTACAATTTAGAACTTCAGTTAAATTTGGAGTGTGTTCAGACTCGTAGCTCTGATGATCAAATATCTAAGATTCTAAATGAACAGAACAAGAGATGTTATTCAACCCAGTGAAACTTTGCCTTTCAAAATTTAATTTTAATTCACTGACATCATTATCAAGATGGCCACTTTTAATCTCCGTCCCCTGAACTGCTATTTAAAAAAAAAAATGATCTCTTCCTTATCTCAAGGCATTTTTCTCCTCTCTTTAGGTCATTAGGATCACCAGCAAGCACAATGTGTTGAAGGCAAGAATACCCACAGAACCATGATGCTATATGATCATGGTTTGCCCCCACCCATTGTATTCACATAGGGAGTATTTCACACTCACTCAGCTTTCACTATTAGAAACTCCACTTCAGCCCTGGCTGGTGGCCAGTTGGTTGGGTGTTGTCTCATTCACCAAAAGGTTTCAGGTCGATTCCCAGTCAGAGCACATGCCCGGACTGTGGGCTGATCTCCAGTAGGGGGCGTGCAGGAGGCAATCAATGTTTTGCTCCTATTGATGTTTCTCTCTCTCACACACACACAAAATCAATATCTTTTTTAAAGAAAAACTTTACTTCAATTGTCAAAGTCTGTGTAATGACTTGGTAAAAAGTGAGTTTTTTGGATTAAGTTCTTCTGGTTGACTCACAGTGAAATAAGGATATCAAGTACTCCCTATAGGAATAGATCAGAGGACAGGGTTGTGGAAAGAGGAATCAATTAAGTAATTAGTTGCCCTATCTTTTTAAAATGACAGCAAATGGTTTCTCTTTTCTAGAATTGGCCCTATAAAAGTGAAGAGCTAAAAAAAAAAAATTTAAAGGAGCAGATAATAATTTAAATAATATTCTCTAACTTTGACAGTATTTAAATGTGAAAGTACTCATTAAAGTTGGGTACATGTTGTTTTACTAAATTGTAAAAAATTCAATATAGTTGTAGAATTTCAAATGCAACATTATGCGCTCAGACTATAATAAAAGTGAAGGGCTGCCACACTCCATGCTACATCAGGAAACAGTAACATATTTGGGCCATTATCACCAACTATTAATTGTTTTCTAATGTGTTCATTGTCAGCACACACCCTGAATGTTGAGCCAAAGAAATGACTGTGGAATCACTCAGTGAATATGTAGAGACCACCCCCAACTACTTAGAAGCCCTTAGGAAAAAATTGCCTTGAACTTTTTATATAGCTAACCTTCCCCCAGCCGCACAAGGCAAGGTACATAATAGATAATCAATAAATAATCAATCATTGACTCATTTCTCGTCTTCACCAATGGGCCTGGGAGAGAAACAGCAAACAAGTGTTAAAACATTTCACACTGTAATTCATCAGTTGAGAAATTACGGTTTGTGTGTATGTGTGGGGGGGAGGGGAGGCACAAGTATGAGGGTCACACTGATAAAAAAAAAAAAACTGGTGTGAGAAGATGACTTCACTTAAAATACAAACTGTTAATTTTTGCCAGAGGTGACAAACATTTTCTAAATCAAGGTTTACTATATTGGTTCTCTTTGTTTCCCCATTAACACAGTATAGGGGGTCCAATCCATCTTTGACAATCTATTCAAACTGTGAAGGTGTTTTCCCTTTTCTTTTCACCCTTTGAACATAATTCACTTAGTCCCCTTCTCCAAAGCGCCTCCCAAATAGGGCGGGGGGGCGAGGGGGGGGGCTCTGGGAAGCCCTTGCTGAGAGACTTAGCGGAACTTTGCTCTGCATATGGGCTATTTAGGAGCGTCAGGGTTTCCTCGGGTGACTCCATCGCCTCCCTGGTTCTTCTCACTTTGCAG